ACCCATGCCCCTGCATTGGGAACACAGAGTCTTAACCACTGGACCTCCAGGGAAGTCCCCAGATAATTCTTTTAGTATCTCTCATGTAATACTTGGGACATACTTACACTTCAAAAGAAAAAACCACCTCATTGTTTAATTTGAGGCTCAAAATTAACAGACTGTTCTGTCATTTGGCACCCCTTCTCAGATAAGAGCCCCCCGCCTTTGGGCTGGTGAGAACGGAGGAGGGGAGCCCAGCGGGTGGCCCAGGAGCCACCCCATCCCCAGGACCTCCCCGGGCCAGCAGCAGTGGCTGCTGAGGGGTGTGTGCTGCAGGGTGGCCTGCAATGACTAAAGGTGAGCCCCAGAGCTTGGGGAAGTAGGGGTCTGCACTCAGCAGACAGGGAGGAAGCCTGGGGCCCAGGACCCTGGCCATGGGAGAGGACCCCAGGCCAACAGCCACCCTGGACCCGCTCCACTGCGCCTCCTCTGAGAAGGAGTCTGTGGTTACTGTCCCTCTCGAAATGATGAGCATGAGGCTCAGCTGGGCGCAGCTGGGTGAGGCCCCTGCTGGCTGCTCACCCAACATGAGGGTGACATTTAGGAAGCAGGCTCTGGGTGACTGACCCCACCCCACCTGCACCACCTCCCTGGGTCCTCAGGACGCTGGGCAGGTCTGGTGTTGTCCCCTCCATCTTAAGGGAGGAAGAGGGCTGCCCGGATGGGGCCCAGGTCCGCTGACTTCAAGCTTAACCACTGGGCTGCCCTGCTCAGCATCACCTCTGCCTGCTGGCAGCGCTCTCCAACTACTTCCTGCTCCTCCCAGCGTCCTGTCGTTGCCACCTGGGGAGCTGGGCTTTGTCGCCTTCGCCCCTGGTGGGTTGCCCTTGGGCATGTGTTTGTTTATCCACACTGTGATCTCGTCCTGCCCAGCAGCTCCCAGACTGGCAGGGACACCTTACCGGAGCCACCCCAGCCAGCCCTCCACAGGGCAGCTCAGGCCTTGAGAGTCATGGTCCTTCCTGTCAGCTGTCTCCTCTTCCTTCCCCGTCCTGCACTTACCTCCGGAGCCTCATTTCTCCAGGGAGGCCGAGACCGGGGGACTAGCGGTGCTCCATCCTGGCACTTCTGGGCTTCGCCCTGCTCCAGTGGACAGAGGCAGCTGGGCGGAGGGGAGGATGTCCTGGAAATCTCTGCGGCCAGTCAGCCGGGTCCCTCAGGATCCATCCAGGGCAGGAGTGAAGCCCTGTCCGGAGGGACCAGGCGGTGCTGACTGTGCAGGGCAGCAGGGACGTGGCCCGCCAGCTCCTGCACTCCCCCGAGTCCCCGGCTGTCACGGCAGCCGGGGCTCCTCACCTCTTCCTGTGCCGGGCTCCACCTCAGCCCTCCTTCCTGTCTCATTTCAAAAGCCAACAAGCCTCACAGACAAATGAGTGAGCCATGGCTGCCTTGGGCCAGCTCTCTGGCTTCGTCATCACCCTGAAGGCCAGAGGCAGGGGTTGCTGCCAGGGCTTGTTCCGCGGACCAAGTGCCCCTGCAGACCTGAGGCTCAGGGGCAAGTGGTCCAGCCAAGGCTACAGAGGAGACAGGCTCACGTCAGCAGACCTTTGCCTTTTGGGGGTGGTGGTGGTCGTGGGAACCAGGCACGTGTGGGGCGTTCAGTGATTTGCCCAAGGCTGCATGGCAGGCAGCGGGCCTGGACAGGGCTGGAGCTGCGTCCTCCCGCCCCGGGCTGCTCGGTCACCCCTCCTCCCCCACCCCCACCCCGCTTTCCTTCTTTCTAGCACCCAGCAAGCACCTTTGCCGCAGCCGTGCCCCACAGAGTCTTCCTGTCCCCGAGACAGGTCAGCTGCACCTGAAACACCAGGCTGTGCGGCTCACTCAGGCCCCTGGGGGTGGGCCTCAGCTCACGGGCTGCCTCAGTGGGGAAGGACACGGCCCAGCGTGAACGTGAGAAAAATTACAGAGGCGGAGAAATACAGGACATCCTCTGGTGACAGGGAGCAAACCACTCCATGGGAAGCCACCGAGAGCAGCAGGTGATGACGTGGGGGCAGAGTGACGGGAGGGGGCCTCAGCTTCCCTCTGTGAGCAGGTGGGAGCCAGTGATGGTTGCAGAGCGGGAGGGTGGTAGGCTCAGATGCCTGCAGCAGCTTGTGTGTGAGGGGAGGTGGGAGGGGGCATGTGTTGTCAAGAGCTGCTTGGGTGATGGAGGGGAGAGGGGAACCAGGGCGGCAGATTGGAAGTGCTTCGTACAGGGACACCCTCTTGGCCACCCTTCCCGTCCCTCCCTCCCTCTCATGTGCCGGCCGGGTGCTGGGGGGCACACACAGAGGCTGCCCTCGAGGAGCCCCTGGGGCGCAGGCAGGCAGAGTGCAGACTGGCGGCTGCAGCCTCGTCCGGCGGTGCAGCCCAGGCGTCTGAGAGCAGGCACCCACAGGATGTGGGAACCGCAGGGGCCTGGGGGTGCCTGTCACGCGGCAGAGGCTGGGAGGCCGCTCTGTTCCTCCCTCCACCACTCAGGATCCTGGGCGTGAGCAGAAACAGCATCCTCTGTGGGGATCTCGGGATCACCCCGAGTAGGCACTGCCCCCCAACTTCCCTCCCCCTTCGCCCACCCACCCCCAAAGGGATGGCCCGTGGCCGGCAGGGCCGGACCCCAGGCAGCCTCCACCCGCGGCTCTGACAAGTTCGGGGCCCTCTCCTGGCTCTCCTGGGGGTGTTCGTGGGTTTGGGGTGGGCGTCTCCCATGGTGGTTCTCACTGTGGGCCTTTCCGTCCACCCGGAGTTGAGGTCCACCAGCAGGCCCTTCCCAGCTTGGCCACAGCCTGAAGCTTCCTGCCTGCAGGGGCTTCTCTGGGGCTGTGCAGGCCCCCGGGGCCCCCTTGCCTGGGCCCGGCTCGAGCTGGGCTGTGGGCCTCCTTCGACTGCCGTGAGTGGCCCTGTCCCGGCCGAGGCCAGGCCACAGGAAGTCGAACCCACCCAGGAGATCACATCACAGTGCAGCGTGGGCGTCCCATCATTTCCTCCGACGGGCGAACGTTCCGCTGCCTGAAGCTCAGTGTGCGTCCTTCCTGTCCTGGGTCCCCGCAGCAGATTCTCTGCAGGCAAACACCATGTCCACTGCCCGCGAGGCCCTGGCTGGCGGGGCCTCAGGTCTCCCTGTGGGCGGTGGGAGAGGACAGCTCATCACTGGCTCCCTTTCAGCCTGTCAGCTGGACCTCATGCCTGATTCGGGTTTAATTCTTTTAGAAAGTCATGCTGTCCCGGGTGCCGCCAACTATCTGGATGTAGTGGTCTCGGCTGTGGTGGCTGATTTAACCGCATTTTCATGCTCTGCACTCAGTTCAGGCTGTGCCTTGAGCCTGGCCAGGCCCACTGCTGACTCCTGCTGGCCTCCAGGGATGCCCCGGCCGGACCACACAGGCCGGACCACACAAGGTCTTCAGGATCTTTGGCCCCCAGGCCCACCTTCGCTGGCTTCACCAGCTGGTGGCTTTTTAATCAACTTTAATCTCTCCCCCAATGCCTCCTTATCCACCTGGAATTGGTGGTGTTATGGGAGTTGGGATGCTGTCTGAGGAGGGAGGCTCCCAAGACCCCCGTCCCCAGCCCCGGACTGTGCACCACAAGCTGAAGGGCCTCCCAGCCAGCGAGTGACCCAGGTGAGGACCCGGTCGGCTCCCCCCTGCCTGACTTCATCTTGTTCCCCTAACACAGCCCACGCGGGGAGGAGGCCTCAAGCCCTTCATACAGGAAACACAAAGTAGCTTCTTCGGTCTGATCAAGCGGGGATCTGACCCCCGGCTTCTCTCTTGTCCACCCCCAGGCAGCAGACAGGGGGAAGGCTGGGTCCCCCTCTGCCTGGTTACGAATTAGGACACACAATACATGTTCAAGAAGCCCCGTCTCACTTCCCTGAACGCTGCATGCCGCTGAGGCTCAGCTCACAAACCCCTCTTCCGGGATGCTGTCCCTTTGGGCCACCCCAAGCACTGACCCTCACAGCTGGTACAGGACAGGCCTCCACTAGGTAGCAGAGGCGCCGGCCTGTTCCCACTTCTCCACAGGGCCCAGCACTTGGGCCAGAGCAAGCTTCACAAACTCAGCGTTAAAATGCAGATTCCGACCCAGGGGGACAGAGCCTGCAGGTGCGGGGTAGCATGGAGGGCGGGGCTCAGTGCCTGCTGAGGGCTCTTGACTGTGGGCGTGTGGGTGGGCAGCGTGTGCGTGAGTGAGGGAATGAACCTCCACTCGTAATAACCAGCAGGCCTGGGTCCCCCGGAGATGCAGACAACGTGTAGGGGTGCTGGGGGGCCCCCTCCCCACAGCCCGTTACTAGAGTGTGGCATCTAGCGGCTTTCTGTAAAGCCTTTATGTTTTTATTGCACATCATATAAAATGAACTGCACCATACTTGAAACAGACGAGACATTCACAAGGACGTAGAGACCAAACTTTTCTTCTTTTCCAGCCGTCACCTGTGTTCCACAGCTGCCACATACACTGGCAGAATCAGGGAACAGAGAGCTGCTTATTTGGGGGCTGACGCGCGGTGCTGGCCTTCAGGACGGTCTGGTTTGGAGACTGCTGGTGACAATGACAGGTGTCTGGACAGGACAGCTGGGCCAGCAGAGCACCTGGGGCCTGTGGACAGTCGATCTGCTGGTGGAGGCCCAAGCACTGAGAAGGAAGACAGGGCAGGGGCGTGCTGGACCCGCCGCCTGCCTCAGGACACGGACATCTGTGACTGGTGGACAGAGTGGAAGACACGCCCGGCTCAGGCCCCACCGTGGCAGCTGGCAGTGGCCCATCGCCCCTCCTGACACACGTGGAGAAAAACACTGCGCAGCAATGAGGGGGTGGCTGGGTCCTACATCCAGCAGACCACTCTGAGGACACTCCAGGGTGCTGAAAGCAGGCTGTTCCAGGGCAGTCACTTGTAGGGGGAGAGTGTGGTCAGAAGGCCCGGGAGCACCGCAGGGGCCCAGCCCGTGGATGGAGAGGGCCGCAGGCCCTCACAGGCTGCTGGCGGCCGAGACTGGGGAGCGAGGGGCGGGCCTGCCGGCTCTGCCCCTCTTCTTGCCCGTGGGCTGCCGTCTCTTCCTCCCAAGCTTCTCCTTGCGGGTGGTGGCCGTGGTGAAGGTGATGCACTGGGTGTCCAGGAAGTCCAGCAGCTTCCCCGAGGCCACGCGGATGCCCTGCTGCTTCAGCTCGGCCTGCAGCTCCGCCAGCTCGAGGGGCTGGTACAGCAGGACCTTGCGGTAGAGGGCTGGCTGGGAGCGGATATAGCGCCGCACGGCCTCCTCTGTGGCCACTGTCTGGACGGCCGCCTGGGAAGCGCTGACCTCCTCGCCCACCTCCTCTTCCCCCGCAGACTCCAAGGCCGCTCCAAACTCACAGGAAGAGCTGAAAAGCACCAGATGGTAACACCTTGCAACACCCCCTTTCCACCTCCACCCCAAGACCAGGAGCCTCTGAGGGCAGGAGTGTGTGTCTGCGTCCCCTGCCAGCCCAATACACGGCAGGGACGGCCCTGGTGCGGCAGGAAGCCCCAGGCGGCTATGTCCTTGGCACTCCAGCTGCTGGCCTGAGCAGGACCACACCCTCAGCCAGGATCTAATGCTGAGGGCAGCCGCACTAGGCTTGCCCCACTTGTGGGCGAGCATGTGGGACCACAGAGGTCTGCCTGGGAGGCCCACAGGGGGTTGACCTTTAACCCCACCTCAGTCTCCTGTTGTCCAAACCCAGAAGGCAACTGGGATTTCTGAGTATCGGCCATCAAGCCTCGCTTATGCCAACTCTCAAGGCTCACTGGTCAGAGGACCTATGAAGCCACTGGCCCTGTGCTTTCATGTGGTTACCTCTGTGAGCTGCAGGAGCTGTCCCCGCTGTCCACAGAGGTGGCCGTGGACTCCTGGGAGGCTGGGAACTGGGTGTCCCCGCCAGGGTCCAAAGGCTCCTCCTTGGCTGGTGACATGCTCAGGGCAGAGATGCTGCCACCAGGCTGCTGCTTGTGATGTTGGGGGCCCTTGGTCTTGGCAGGTCCCTTGGACCTCTGGGGAATGCGGCCAGGAGGGGCCTCCAGCTGGGTGTGGCCAGCTGCTCTTGAAGCCTTAGAGGTCTGGGTGGTGTAGGTCTGGCTGCAGGGAGACGCCAAGGGCAGCTGTGAGGACTGGCCCTCGTCCTCAGAGCCTGACTCCAGCGTCTGGTGAGTGTACTGGAATATCTCCTTCAGTTTCAGGACCATCTGGCGTTTGGGCAGAGGGCGGACCCCAAACCTGAATGCGGAAACAGGTGCACTTCAGCAAAGAGCAAACAGTTATCAACAAATTAAACTGGTGGCTGTGTGTACTTGAATCTTAAATGCCTGACTCATGAGCGAATGCTCAGTATCCATCCTGAGTACCCACAGAGCAGACTCAGGAATATTCCAGAAGGGCCACACTCTGACCTGTGAGTGGAAGGGTAGCAAGGACCTCCCTGGGGCCCAGGGTGAACAGTGGAATTCACTGGAATGTGATAGCTGTGATGTTCTTTGAAAAAACCGGGTCTCCATCCTCAGACCACTAAGGCAAAAGTCCCATTCCCACCCACGTGGCACGTGGAGGCCTGTCCCCAAAGGGTGACCTGGAGGAGCATGTTTCTCAGCCCTGAGTCACATGGGGACCAGTAGGTGAAGAGCCAGGAGTCATGCACAGCCCCCATCAACCAGAGGCTCCTGCCACCAGAGCCGAGTGGACCCCCACAGCAGGCCCTCCTGTTCCCCACTTCGCTGAGCCTGGACACACACGGGAGGGTCTGCTCAGAATGAGCTTTCCCGAAGGACACCGACCTGTCCAGCTCTTTCTTCAGCACTGGGGTCTCCATGATGGAGTACCTTGGCATTGGGGTTATGGGGACTTTCGGGGGCAAGTTCTTCTGATCAGCACCTTCTGGACAGAACAAAAGAAACACGTTTCAGCAGGAGGGCCTCTTCTGACTCTGGGAGTGTCACCCAGATACTCTGCCCGAGCTGCCCTCACTCTGGGAGAGCAGTGATGTCCACCCTTCCCCGCTTGACTCTGGCATCCTGTCTTCCCGTCAGGAAGCATCACATGGCACACGGTGAAGGTCAGGGCTCCGCGGTGCTGACGCTGCTAGGGGCTCAAAGGCAGGTGAGTGGGGGTTAGGGGTCGGGCTGAAGGGGCAGTAGGGTGACTGCTTATAGGGACAGGATTTATTTTTGGGTGATGATGCAAACATCCTGGAATCAGACAGTTGCAGAATATTGTTTAAAAGTACTGAATTATACACTTGAAAGAGTGAATTTTATGGTATGTGAATAACATCTTAGTAATGCTGTTCTTTTTTTTTTTAATCAGTATTTAAAAGACAGCTGAGGTACATGGACTTTGGTTCTTCTCCTTTTTATGAGATGGAGCCTTTTGAGACACCAATAAAAACAACAGTCTCCTGAAAAATGCACAACGTTCTTTATACAATTTCAGAGAGTCTGTCACCCCCATGAATCTCCCCTCAGTTCTAAGATCCCCTGGTCTCAAGTCTTCCAAAGTGGTTCTCACACGCCACCTGGGCACCTGTTAGAAATGCAAATTCTTGGTCACACCCCAGATCTCCTGAAGTAGCAGCTCTGGGGTGGAACCTGGCCTGGTTTTCTTTTGAGATGAAAGTCATGTAACTTTTCACGTGAACCACTCGGTAGCACTCAGGACATTCACAGCGTTGTGCAGCCCCCACCTCTTTCTTGTCCTAAAACATTTCATTCCCCAGAGGAAGCTCCATGCTGGTCTGTCCCCGTTCTCTGCCCCCTCCACCCCTGGCGATCACTCATCTACTTTATGTCTCTGTGGACCTGTATATCGGGACGTTCATGTCAGTGGAATCACACAACCTGACCTTCTGTGTCTGGCTTCTCTCCCTGAGCACCATGTTTTCAAGGTTCATCCATGCTGCAGCCTGTGTCAGAGCTTTGTATGGCTGAGGAATATTACACTGTCTGGATGGACCACCTTTTATTCACTTATCGGCTGATGGACATTTGGGTTGTTTCTACTTTTTGGCTGTTGTGAATAGTGCTGCTGTGAACACGAGTGTACAGGATGTGTCTGAGTCCTAATCTCAAGTCCTTTGAATGTTGGAGTGGAATGACCTGGTGATAATGGCAATTGTTTGACTATTTGAGGAGCCACACGTGTCTGCTCTTAACATGAACCTGAGGGGCTTGTCACAGTCTCCCTGAAGTGCTGGTGAGGTATGCTGGAGTGGGGCTGCAGACAGGGGTCCTTAACAGGTGCCCAGGTGAGTGGTAGGATCCAGGCAGCTTTAGGACCCCCCCCCACTTACTGGCTTAAGAAGTGTACGTTTGACAGCAGGCCTTTCCTCCCTAACTGCGGAGAAGGTCAGGTAGGCAAGGAGAGGGCTGGCCGCCCCTCGCTGTCTGTGACTCCTCACGCCCCTCAGTGTGAAACGAAGACAAACACCCTCCCACTACTCACGTGGCGTCTGTAACTCGTGTGACCTCTGGGCTCTATCTGCTCGCGGTGTCTGGGGCAGAGGAAGAGCCTCTGGGGACCTCTGATCTTCTTCATTCCAGTCATCCCACAGAGCTGAGTTCAGAAAGCTCTGCTGGTGGCTCCCAGGGGAGCCGGCCCCAGAGGACTTCTCGCGAGACTTCCTCCGGCCAGTGTGGCTCCCTCGGACAGGGGTGGTGCCCAGCAGTGCCGGGGAGCGGCGGTCCCTGCTGTCTGGGGCCCCCTCTGCCCTGCTGCTGGGGCTGCTGGCGCTCAAGGGGCCTGTCCGCTCAAGGTTCAGGCGGTCAATGGGGATTGGTGAGAGCGGTTCCACGTGCCAGCACCAGTCCTCGGCTGGAATCGGGGGGTCGCCGTCCAGCAGGGGGCTGCAGATCGCCTGCTGGGAGGCCGCCTCCTGCTCATCTTCACTGTCTTCCACCTCCACCACTTCAGTCACGGGAGCCCGAGCCACCGGGCTCTGTGGAGGAGGCGGGCACCTTGGGAGCTGCCCGGGGAGGTCGGTGAGGCCTCCTAAGATGGGTCGGGTAGCCAGAGGAGAAGCGCATGGGAGGCGTCTGCGGCGGGGGCTGGATGTCTGCCTGCAGACCTGCCTTCTCCCATCAGAGCTTCCAGGAGTGGGGGGGCCCAGGCGTGGGGACGACGTCTGGGGTACGATGACCGAAAACTTACTCGTGGCTTCGGGTTCGTCCCTGTTCTCTAACAGGGCTCTGGGCGTGGGCGGAGCCAGCGGGTCTGCTGGTGGCCTGGCCCTGAGGCCTGTGATCTGAGTCTGCGAGGAACAGTCGCAGCTCCTGCCGGCCAGCGGAGTGGCGGGCACCAGCCACGAGGTGTCCGTGGTGCTGTCCTCCTCGGCACTGGCCCCCAGCCGCCCCTCCACCTCCTGCGGCAGTGGGGCCTGGCTTCCTGTCTGGCTTTGGGGAGGCTCCTGCTCCGCGTCGAGGTCGATGATGGAGAACAATTCAGAGGACCTGGCGCTGACTTCCAGAACTTTCTTGTCTTCTGAGGGGCTGTTCAGAAATGATTTTGCTTTGGTTTGCTCCAGCTCCAGCTCTTCATCTGAATCCAGTAACAGGATCACCTCATCTTCTCTGTGCACGCTGCAGGGAGAAGTCTCAGGCCTGGAGCTCTGGCAGCCAGGTCCTGACCAGGTTAGATCCATGGGTGGAGATTTTTCTGGGAAGATCAGGACCCCTTTACCTCTGCGTTCCGATGGGGAGCTACATTCCTTGTCTTTCTGGCCTGGGTCCTCACGTGATGAGGGAAGGCGCCTGGCCCTCTTTGGCTTCGGTGATGAGTTCTGGGAGGCCACGCTGGAAGCTGTACCCTGCAGCGGGAGGTCACTGGGGCAACGGGCGCGAGGACGTGGCTGGCGAGGACTCCGGCCTTGATGGGGCTGCGGTGGGAGGAAGCATGAGCGTGAGGGGTGTGCCTGCTGGTGGGCAGAGGGACGGAAACCCTCTACCTCCCTTTCCGGGATGGTCCTATTTCCTTCCTCCCGATTGCTCATCACCCCGGAGAGTTCAGGGTATCCAGCCTGAGGTGATGAAAAAGGCTGTTGATCATTATCATCATCAGCTGAGCACAGAGGGGCGTTTTCCTGCCTCTCTGCACGGCCCTCTGCTTTCTCTTCCCCATTCAAAGCCTGGTTGCTGGGGGGCAGGAGTGTGGACAGTCTTGTGTTTCCCCATTTGGCCGGGGTCTCATCTCTTCCTTGCCCGGATGATTCCAACTGCCCTGCATTTTCTGGCTGTTCTTTATCCTGTTTGCTTTGGAGGATTTCCCCAGAAACTGGACCATCCTCCCTGAGCAGGTCGCCTTCTTCCTTTGGCTCTGGGGCTTTCTCCCCCTGGAGCCGCTTTCGCTGAGTAGCTGCGAATTCATAAATTTCTTCCATCTCCTCCTCGTTGACCTTTTCTCTGTCTTCTTCGCGGCCCTCAGGTTTCAGCAGGGCCTCTGCTCCCTCCTCCTCACCCAGCCACACAGAACGCAGGAGCTCTCGGAAAGTCTCCACTCTGCCGTCAGCATCCTCGTCTTCCTGCTCCTTTCGCTGTCCACCTTCTGCATCTGTCACAATGGGCACTTGTTCGCACAGGTGAACAAGCTCACTCACCCCAAACCTGCAACAGGAAAGCCACGCGTCACCACCCCTGCGCAGAGGCAGCGCGCTGGCTCGGGAGGCTCAGGGCAGGAGTCCTCATGGGTTGGACGGCCATGACTCTCCCTGGCCCTTCCCCACTCCCCTGCGGAGATGGTGCCCATGTTCATGCCCAGCAATGCCCCAGACCACTCAGCTCTAGAAACACAGCCTTTGGGGGGGGCCACTGTGCAGCCTGAGTGTGGGCTGAGGAGGACCGCGAGGCTGGGTGGTTCTGTGACCGGACCCAAAGCACTGGGACTGACACACACGGGGACGCCCAGGCCAGTTCGGGTCAGCCCAGATGCGTGCGCCGGCCTGCCTGGCGCTCTGCCGTCTCATCAGCGCCTTGGAGACCCCAGAGCTGAGCCTGCCCCTCCCCAGGTTCCACCCCAGAGGCCTCGTCGGGAAGCAGGATGTGGGGGTGGAGAGACGAGGCAGCTGCAGCGTCAGGGGCGTCAGAGCAAGCAACCTGCTCACGTCCACCTTCTGGGACTTGAAGGGGCGACCGTTGGGCAGCTCCACTGGGGGAACTGCCGAGGAGTGGCGGTGCTGGGGGTGGGGGCTGAGACCACCCCCTCGTCACTCCCAGCGAGCGAAAGCCACGGGGCTCCCCTCCAAATGTTCCCTGTGGCCAGAATCCCGGTCAGTATACCCTGTTCAAGGTCACCACTGGCCATAAACTTGGGATCAAAAGGTACAGGAAGGACTCAGCCCTGACCTCTCATGGGCCATCAACCAGATAATCCCTGTCGGTTACTGTCAAAAACCGAGAAGTAAGTGGAAAGAACAGCCCGGACCTCTGGGCCAGAGAGCGCAGGTCGGGGGCCAGCTGGGGAGTCAGGACGCTGTCAGCAGCATAGAGGTAATGCAGGAACGCCTGGGCGGCCTCGGCGCTGACGTCACTCAGCAGCACGCGCTGGCGCCTCAAGTCACCGTCCTCTTCGGCCAGGAAGCCTTCACTGTTTACCTGAGGGCAGATGCACATGGAAGAGTTACTGATGGGACAGCCGTGACCTGGGGCAAAACAGGCCTCATGAGGTTCTGGGAGCCTCGGATCTCGTCCCAGGACAGGTGTTAGCCAGAGTCGCTCTGTTTAGCTGACCAGGAATTCTGCAGGTTAGGGCACAAAACTTGTCTGTTTCCAAAGTCAAGTCAGTGATAGAGGCTCAAGAAGCCAGTCAGTTCTCTCTTGACAAGCCTGTCAAAGGCATTAGAACCTTCTGACAAGACTGGCAGCAGTTCCCAGGATTCTTGCGATGCCACGTTCAAGTTGACATGACAACACAGAAATGTCATAGCAGCTCAGCCTTAAAGAGGTCAGTTAGGGACCTTCCTGGTGATCCAGTGGCTAGGACTTCACACTCTCACTGCCAAGGGCGAGGGTTCAATACCTGGTTGGGGAATTTAAGATTCCTCAAGGCACACAGCATGGCAGAAGAAAACAGAAGGTGATTATAAGACTTTACTGATAATGTAAATAGAGGAAAAGGAAACCGTTCTGGGGAAAAAAGGATTTTCATTCAACGGAACAAGAAATCTGATGTTTCCCAACCCTGAGCTCATCTCCTCATAGCACTTCTTGACCTCAAACCTGTCTTCTCCAGGGAAGCACAACCTTGATGCATCAGAGGAAGAACAGGTCAGGGGCAGAGGGTGGAGAGTGGGGGTGTGGGGAGGAAAGGGGGCAGGAAGACAGAGGGACAGGCTGGGCACAGAGGGGAGGGTGGAAGGGGGGAAAGGGGTAAGAGGGAGGGGAGGGGGGAGGGAAAAGAACAAAAGGGGAGGAGGGGAAGGAGGCCACCTGGCCACGCACTTACATGCTGCATGAGAAGTGGGCATCGGGCATAGAGCACAAACTTGTGGGCATAGAGCACCTCCCCACTGTCTGTCTGAAACTGAATGTCGCTCAGGTGTGGGTTGTTGACCATGGCACTGAAGTCGGCCACCAGCAAACCAAGGGCGAGCTGAAACGAGAGGGGGGAGAGTGGCCACTCCCACCGTGGCCCCGCAATCATGCAGGTGCCCAACAGACAGGGCGTAGGCGGCCAGTCAGGGCCTCCTGCTGCTCCCCACAAGGTCTGACGTCGGGCTCCACCCTGAAGTTACCTTCAGGCCCTCAGAGACAGGGAACAGCAAGACCCAGTCCTTTCCCAAGTTCTCTGTCACACCCAATTCCCGGCCTAGACAGGAGGCCTGGCCCATGGAGACGGAGGCCCGGCGCATGGAGAGGCATGGGTGATGGCCTCACGGGACGCGGTGGTGGCGTCAGCAGCTACTAGGTTTCCGTGCGGAAGCCACCAGCCCAGCGGGATGTGACAGGTGGGACTTTAGCCCAAGCAGTTGTGGGGTCGGCTGGAAGGAGTCCATATCCCTTCTCTGACAATGCTACGTTCCCAGGGAGAACTTGGTGACAAGCGCTCAGCTGATAGTGATGTGCTCACGGCATGATAACTTCTCTAAGGAAAACCCAGTTTCTAACCCAGAAAGTCACCAATACAGAACATGAACTGTTAGCTGGAGGCCTCCAGGACTCTCACGAGTCAGTGAGTCAGTCCCATTGGCTGGATGAAGCACCTCCACAGAGCAAGGGTGTTCCCCGGGCCCCAGGACAGAGTAGGCTCCCGGGGCTGGGCTACTGAGGTGCCCCTGGGGTTCAACGAAAGGGACAGAAGCCTCATGGCAGAGCCAGGACGGGACAGGAGGTCCTGTGGGTGCTCGCTGGCTCAGGTCAAAGGCCGTCAAGGGGCATCTGTGGACTCTGCAGGGGCCTGGAGGCTGACTGTGAGCCGGCTGCACTTAACAAGCATCACAGCCATGACCACGGAGCTGCGAGCAGGATCAGACATGCTCACCGAAGCCTGGCCGCCCTCCTCCAGGTACTTCTCCTTGGCTGGCAGGACAAACCCAGTCAGTGGAAGGCCGCCGAGTGACAAGTCCATCCCTGAAAGGATTTGCAGGTTATAAACATCAACCACCTGGGAAAGAGCATCACCCGGGCTGACCCGAGGACGTTGTCATGGAAGGCGATATGCCCAGAGGCCACCTGCACCGCCACCCCCACCCAGCAGAGTTGTACTTGGGAGAGAAAGCCAAAATCAACCCTCACAACCACTCGCTCTGGCAGAAGGCTCTGTCCTCGGTCAAAGCTGAAGGAAAACTGACGGACTCGCCTAAGTCACATTCACCTTTGGGGAGAAAGGAAAGCACCCAGAGAGACTACCTCCTCCCGCCAGACAGGGTGAACCGGGACTGCAGACCCGAGTGGCCATCGCAGCCCTGGTACCAGGGCGGGGAGGCCCTAAGGGTCGGGGTCTCACCTGCAGCCCCTCCCGAGCCAGCCAGGTCCCTGCTGCACGGGCTGGCGGGCAACCTCTCTCCCGCCAGCTCCAGCAGATCCTGCAGGGCCTGGCGCTCCCTCTGGCTGGCGGAGGGCACTGGGCTCTGGAGGCTGTGGCCCACAGAAGGGGGTGTTCCCACACTCAGTTCTGGCGGCTTGGGTGGCCGTGGCAGCCGCATGGGCTCTTGTGTGAGACCCTGAAAGAAGCAGATGAGCCAGAGTGAGTGTGTGGCCTCCACAATCGCCACCACCTCGAGAGTCCCTGGGGAGCGAGCCCTAGCCACAGCCACTTGGGAAGCTTGTCGCCATTACCCCTGTCAGTAGGCGCCTCTGCCTTGGCAGGGGCCACGCCTGGGGCCTTTGTGTCTACAAAAGGGGCCCCCGCCCTCCTAGCATCATCTAAATTGTTTCAAGCAGGTGAGTGCCGATTCCAGACACCTGTACACAGGCCTGTCCAGTTCCTGGGTCCCATCACAGGCAGATTATACCAGTCCGGGGTAGGACCTGGTATAATTCTGAACTCTCCAGAATCTTAACACATTTGGAAACCTGTGGGCCTCCCAGTTCCTACTGTGCGAACTGTCTGGTTGTTGCAAAGAGAACACCCTAGACTCCACACCACGGCCCTCGGCTTCCTCCCCTCCACACTTGGTGCTGCAGCCGGAGCCGCCACCCTCTCCCCAAGTCCACCTGCCCCACCGGAAGGGAGCACACCTTGGCAGGCCGCTGGGGCACCAGGGGAGGCACCAGGCTGGCCGTGTAAAAGGATTCCAGGGCCCCAGCCCCGGTCAGGGCACTGGCCTCCCACAGCAAGTTCTGCGCCCCTCCAGGAGGTCGCAGGGCCCGGCTGCCCCTGGCCAGCTCTTCCTCTCGGATCCTGCTGGCAGGGAGCGGCGGCGTGCTGGACAGCTCCACCTCCTCCGACAGGAGCTGGGCCACGCGGTCCTCTATCTGCCGGCCGGTGGTCTCCGGGTCCTGGACTAACAGCTGTGGGGGGGGCGCGGGGGCTTTCTTCTTGCGGGTTTTCTTCTCTAGAGAAAAAACAGAAGCAGCACGGAGTCATCCTCCCACCGGGGACCCCAGGGGAAGCTTCGGCAGCTGCCACGTGGCCAGGCTTCTCAGCAACCCCCTCAGCCGCCGCACCTGCTCGTAGTCTCGTCCTCTCTGCAAAAGCGTTCCCCAGCCTGAGCGCTGCCGGCACTGCCTCCTGCTCCGTCTCCGAGCGGGACAGAGCCATGGCCACCAGCAGGTCCTCGGATGGCGCCTCGGGCCCAGTGACCTTCCGCCTCTTCCGTGGCTCCTTCTTGGCGGTGGCTCCCTTCTGCTTCAGACAGCCAGCTCCGTCGCTGAGGCTTAAATGGCAGCCAGACCGAAAGGTGAGTGAGGCTAGAGGGGTGAGCAGTTTCTGCTCTGAGGGTCCCCGCTCGACCTGGGAGGGCTGGACCCCTTCTCCTCAGTGGGGGCAATGAGAGGAAAGGGGTAAACGTGGATCCAACATACAGAAGGATCAGCAGCTTCTGTGCTCAAACTGTCAGGGACGGGAGGATCTCGGGAAGGACTTGTGGAAACCAGTCCCTGCCAGCTGGTCTGTTTATGAGCCTCTGAGGATGGAGCGCTGTCCCCTCCCGGTCCCTGTGGATTCTGTACCCAGGTTCCTTCTGAAGCGTTTCATCTCCAGATTCAGCGCTCTGTTGTCCTCCACCACTACAAAAGGCCTTTTTCTTTTTTTAAAAAAAAAAAAAATCAACATACTTCGATTTTTCTTCCTTTTCCTTTGACTTACCTGGGTGCCGGAGTGCCCGAGGTGCCTGCAGGCTGAGCTGTCTGCAGCCGCACAGCCTGGAGCAGGAGCTGTGGGCCGACCTCCATCTTCACTGCACACTGTTTCAGGTGACTGATTCTGCTCTTCAGGGTGAGAAATGGCTTGCCGCAGATGGGGCATTCAGGGATCCGAGGCATGGGAAATCTCAGTGCCTTTTCAGCCTCATCCAGGCACCTGGAGGAAGACAGCAAAGGTGGGACCACCCTTGCCTGGTCATGTGATTGTAGATGGGGCTCAGGTCAGTGTGGTCGTGCTGTGGGTCAAGGCTTGCTCCTCCCACAAGCTGGTCCCTCCCCACAGCCTGCAGCCAGCCTCCAGACACTGCATTTAGGTTTCTGTGAGCAAAGGTGTCTGAGGAAAGCAAGGATATATTAAACACAGAGTCACCAGACTCAACATATGACCCAGCAATTCTAATCCTAAGTACAAACCCCAAAGAACCGAAAACAGATACTCAAGCAAATACATGAAAAGTGTGTTCACAGTAGCTCTATTCACAAAACCCAAAAGGTGGAGACAGATGTCCATCAGTGGATGAGTGGATGAACAAGATGTGGTCCATCCATACAGTAGAATATCATCAAACCATAAAAAGGAGGGAAGCACTGAGACAGCACACCACGGATGACCCCTGCACACACACTGCTGAGTGAAAGACACCAGACACAAAAGGCCACATATTCTGAGTCCACTTATGTCTGGAACAGGCAAGTTCCCAGAGACAGAAGGCAGGTGAGTGGTTGCCAGGGGCTGAGGAAAAGAGGGAAATGGGGTGCCTGCTTCATGGGTCTGGGGCTGACTGTGGTGACAGCTGCACAACTCTGTATGCACTAGGTAAACATGATTGCACTGTTCATTTTAAATGCTGAATTGTATGGTATACAAATTATATCTTAAGCTGTTTTTTAAAAAAAAGCAAAGCTGGACCAACCCTGATACTGAAGTACTAATCTCAAGATTCCCCCTGGAGATTCCACAGGAGCTTTGGAGCTGGTCACACCTATGGGCAAAGTGAGCAAAGACAGGTGACGGCTGAGCTGCTCCTACCGATTCATGTGCTGCTGCCTCCGTGTCACGTTCATGGCTGAGAGGTTCTTCTGACAGATCTGGCAAAAGAACAACCCCTTCTCCTCCAGGCTGTCGTCGGGTGCGGACACCTGTTCCTGCCCAAGCTCCTGCTGGAGGGCCAAGGCCACTGCGGTGTCACTTTCTGTGGCGGGGGACTCGGGCCCAAACCCTGTGGAGATGCAAACACCCATGAGGATCAGCTCGTCCCTGGACCTCGCGGAGCATGGACGCTGGGCAGGGCGTGAGGAGCCCAGACCCAGCACTGCTCCACCTCGTGTGGGGCCCTGTCTGGGGAGACCGGACACCAAGCAGGGTACTCCCCAAACTTTTAACAGGCACAAACATCCCCAGGAAGCTCGTTAAAGTGCAGGTCGGGAGGCTGGCACTCCGGCGGGCTAGGTGGAGCCTGAGACTCTGCATTTTGGCCAACTTCCAGGCGAGGCCGATGCGGTTGGTCCAGGACCACTCTGAGCATCAGAGCCCTGAATAATTTGCCTTTTGTTTCCCATTTCTGCTAAAGTGGCAACCCTGGGCATCCCAGGATAGTAAGGCTCCTACTCCAGTGAATCCTAGGTTTCCTCTTTAAAGCTCAACCTCTCCTACCGCTCTGACTTTTTGTTGCCCTTCCAGGTCAGAGTGGAATGCTGCTCTTGGTTTTTCTTGGCATCAGACCAGAGGATGGACTGATTCTAATCTTGGGATGGTGCCCAAGGCGGCCGTGCCCACTGTTGCGGCTGTCATACCTGATGTTGCTGGAGCAGACCCTTGGCACTCATGCAGGATATGCCCTAAGAACAAAGCCAAAAAAGCACCATACTTCATTTTGGTCCAGTACTTTTTTTAAACAAAGAAATGTTTTATCTCTCCTGTTTATTACTGGGTATGATGTGAAGACTGATGGAAACAACTGAGTCACATGCAGGGCAGGGGTTGGGCTCATGCACTGGCTGAGTGACCCCTCTGCACTGCTTGGTGCCCCGTGGACCAAGGACTGATGCCACATCGCTGTGTCAGCTGCGTGGGCCTTTGGGGTAGCCTGAGAAAGCTCAGTAGTCTTGAGGTGAAACCTGCAAGTAAATACTGGGAAACTATGGATTTACTGGCTGTAGGTCTGTCAATAGTTTCTTCCTATTTCTTTTCCTTTTGTGTATTTTCCCCAGGGATGAGGATTCCTGTTGTTTAGGAGATAAAGCACCACCTGACAGTCCAAGCCTCCTGGGGTGGTACAATGTGCAGCATATGGCACTTCTCTGCAGGAAAGGGTTAAATGACAACAGGCAGAAACAAGCAAATCCAGAAAGTGGGGAGTTTTAAAAGACAATTGTCCTGGAGTTTTCAAGAAGTCAGTACCACAAAAAACAAGGACAAGATAAGAGACTGTTATAGAGTCTAGACCAGAGGGATTACTGAGCCATGGCTATAAGCCCAGGTGACAAATCCTTGTTCAGGAAGAGTTCGCTAGAGAAGTGGTCCTTGGGGTAACCGGGGAAATCTGCATGTGAGCTGGACAGCAAGCAGTGTTCTGGAATCACATGTGTTTATGGTATTGTGGTTATGTAGGAGAGTCTAGGGGTGAAGCATCACGATTATGACTTGCTTTCCGATGGTACAGAAGTGTCCATTTATAGAGAAAAGTGTGGCAGAATGTCCACTGTTTGTTAAATCTAGGTTGAGAGCATAGGGACTTCATTGTAAAATATTTTTCTGACTCTTTTGAATGGGAAAATTTTTGTAATAAGAAGTCAAAGTGAAAAAAAGAGGAAGTGGTACCTTCTCAAAGAAGCTAAGTGAGAAATGACCCAGGTGACCCTCTGTTCTCTGGCCAGAGTGGCAGAGGCAGAGCGTGGGGCAGAAGGTCCACCCCAGGCTGAGAAAGCAGGCTCCTTCCTGACCCTTTTCCCCCAACATCATCCCTGTTGGGAAGACAGCGCTCCCTTCATACCGTTCACCGCCATCACATCCTGAGGGCCCTTTGGGACATTTTCTTCAGGTGCAGCCTCGAGTGAGCAGCCTTCGGAAGCTCGTTTTAAACGCTCGGGGTCTGCTCTCTTGAACTGCTGCATTCGCTGGAGCACCAGCTCTGCTGCCCTGGGTTTGGAGGGACTTGGCGCCGTCGCAATCAGACAGGAAGGAGGGGGCTGTGAGAGGCTGTCCATGGTGGCCTCTGGCAAGGAGGAGAACATTCACATGCATCAGTTCTAGCAGGAGAAACTGAAGGTTCTTCTAGTTTCAAAGACCTCAGATTTCAAAGGGGTCCTTTACTGACTACATTAGGTGTAACTCTAAAATACTGATTGCTTTTTGGTAGCCTCACTGTTTGTGGTGATAAAAATACCCCCGCCATATGTATCTGTGATGGGAGGGGGCACATTTCTGAGGTGATAAACATGTTCTAAAATTAAGTGGTGGGGATGGTTGCACAACTCTGTGAATAAAGTCACTGAACCGTCCACTTACAAGGGGTCAATTTTACAGAATGTGAATTGTATCTCTATAAAGTTGTTATTGAAGAGTTATGAATGACAAACACTTGTATCTTTCTAGGTCAGAAGTTCTCTTTTAACTTGGTGTCTGAGGATGACCTCTGGGGGGATCCATGCAGCCCCTGATGCTGCATGTCACCCTCGCAGGTATGTTTTTGGGGGGAGCAGTGCAGTGGTCTGGGGGAAATCAAGCATAGCTTTCACTACACTCTCAAAGGGAGCGTGAAAGACCAATAATGTTTTGGCAATATTAATGAAGCCTTACAACAGTCTCTGAGCTAAGGCTTTACCACCACTGCACTGGGGAGGTCATGCTGACCACATAGGTAAAAAACATTATTTAAGATCAGGAAGTGAAGGTGAGAAAAATTTAGAAACAGAACTGAGTCCAAAGATCTTGTGCTATATTATATATGCAAGGCTGGTTTTCAGTTCTGCATGAAGAATGTATGTTAAACATGTGGTTTAATATACCAGGGTGGCAGGGTGAGCAAGTTGCTTTAAACAAATAAACAGAGAATAATAAAAGGTGTTTGGAGGAGATAGGAAGGACAAGAAGATTCTCCTGGGACTCAAACCCACATGGCACATGCCTTCTACCTTCTCAGCAGCCTAACCAAATTGGCTCACCCACTGCAACTTACCCACTTTGGAATGAACTCAAGAAAATGAGAGAAGTAGCATTATTTTCATGTTCATTAAAAAAAAAAACACAAACTCATGTTAACTGCATGATGTAAACGTTAATAGGAAAATGAAAGAGCAGACGGCCCCAAATATATCATGTAGAGAATTCATACAAGGGTTATGAATATTTTCTTAATGACTATTGTTTAAAACAAGAGTCAGCAAACTGTGGTCTTGGGCAGGCTGCCTATTTTTGTAAATGAAGTTTTGCTGGAACACAGCCCATTCAATTATATATCATCTAAGAAGTAGTTTGCGAAAGAGACTGTATGGCCAGCAAAACCAAAGAAACTTACTAGCTTTCAGAAAGTTTTCTGATCCTTGGTTTAAAATGGTACAAATCACCTCTGGTGTCCTCTCTGGCAGAGGTTCTGACTGGTTACCTGTCTGGGTGCTCCACACACTATCCTGGAGTACAGCAGAAGTGTGTATACCTCCCTCAGTGTTTTCAGGGGGAGCTGGTCCAGTCTCTGGCCTCTTGGGTGCCCCGTGCTTTTGAGTCCGTGGGACCTGGCGGCCAGGGCGAGTTTTCCTCTCAGTGGGGCCTTGCGGGGTTTTGCTCTTAGAAGCAGTTTGTTTGGTCCTTTTTGGTTTGCTTCTTATCTGGGTGCCATTGGAGGCCTTTTGTGTCTTCTTTTCCTTTGACACTTCCTTGGGGCCATTCTTTTTCACCCTTTGGAAAAAGCTGGCACAGAGTTCCTGAAAGTCATCATCTGACTCATCCATCATCTGACAGGTTTGAAGGCTTTCAGGCTGGTCCTGGGAGAAGTGAGGGTCGATATGGGGGTGTGTGCACAGGTGAGAAAGTGAACCTGAGTGTGAGCCTGGCCAGGCCTCATTCACACTGGAAGCTTCATTATGGTTCGTCGCTGCTTCTCACTGTAGTACCTAGAGAATTTGTACAGTTGAGCAGGATGTACTGTTCCCTCCCTCCATAATGATTTAAAATGTCTTTCTTGGACTTCCCGGTGGTCCAGTAGATAAGAATCCACCTGCCAATGCAGGGGACATGGGTTTGATTCCCAGTCTGGGAAGATCCCATGTGCTACAGAGCAACTTAGCCCATGGGCCACAACTACTGAGCCCGCATGCAGCGACTAATGAAGCCCGTGAGCCTAGAGCCTGTGTTCTGGAATAACAGAAGCCACCACAATGAGATGCCCATGCACCACAATGAAGAGTAGCCCCGGCTCACTGCAACTAGAGAAAGTCTGCGAGCAGTGAGGATCCAGCACAACCAAGAAAGATAAATAAATAAATTTTTTAAAATGTCTTTCTTCAAACTGAACCTTTGTTCAGCACACTAAAAGCTTACCTTTATTAAAGTTCACATCTGAGAGGGTCTGTTGTCCAGTAGATGCCTCCGAGAGAGAATACATGTGGCCCTGGTGCTTAGGTGATTCTCCAGGATCTCCATGGTGATAAAGCACATTTGATCCACTTAACTTTTCACCTGAGAAAAGCCAAAAGCATTTAAGTGTAATTAGATAGACATTGTAATTTTATGTCATTTCTCCCAGGAAGGTACAAGAACATGTGGAGTATGGGTAAAGTCTTCAGGGTAACAATACATCCACCAAATACTCAGCTATAGCCTGGTTAACACAAACTAATCATCCTACAGGCTGCCGCAACATGACAGGGGAGAGGGACCTAAAGACCTATCAAAGTGTGTTCTTCCATGGGCAGCAAAACGTGTGCATCTTGGAAGAATATAGTTTTTACCAGAGTCTGGGAAATGAACCCCATGAAGAGCAGTCACCACAGAATCAAGATAGTCCCTGAATCCAGAAAAACTACCTCTGGTCCAAGGCCTTCAGCTCTCAGAGGCTCTATCAGCAAGCAATATAATGAGAGAGAGAAAGAGGGAATGTGCACTTGAAGAAACCAAAGATAGGAATACAGCAGGCTCATCCTTCATTGACAGAACCAATTTTTCCAAATCAGAAAAAGGTCACTTTTCTCTATTCTCTCACCCCAGCCATTCTAACCCACGTGACCAGAATGCTGTCCATGTGCAAAGGCTGGGCCTTACAGCTGTGATTATTTATACTGGCACAGTTTAGTGGAGTTTTGAAAATCAAAACTGAATAACCCAATGGTAGAGAGTTCATTTCAGATACCATAAGGCAGTTTCCACGGTCCAGGTAATCCATTAATCATCTAGTTTTCCAGAGTGGGGCAGACACACACACCTAGAATCTACTTTGTATGGCTGGCTCATTTTCATCTTCCATCTCTTTAGAGAAGCTTCTATTCTCAGTCTTTATCTAATTGAACCCTCTCCACTCCCATTTATTTTCTATCATCACACACTGTTTTCACAGTGGCATTTATCACGTTATTATCACACGTAATAGATTTATTGAATGCCTACTGTGCAGGCAGCCATCCCAAGAGCTTTACAAGTCTAACTAGTTTAATACTTACAACAACTCTACTAGGTAGGACCTACTGACACCCCTTCTTTACAGCAAGGAACCACGCACAAGAATGAGAAACTGGCTCAAGTTCACACAGCCTTTCAAGAGGCAGGCTGGGATCCAATCCAGGCAGTGTGGTTCCAGGGCATTAGCTCTTGTATTTTTATTCAGTAGCTTGTTATGTGTCCCCTACTAAGCTCAAAACTTAAGGAGGGCACGCGCTCATTTTGTATTCTCTTTGGCTGGCAAGGTGCCTGACTTAAGTGCTCGACAGTAATCTGTTGAATTAACCGCAAAGAGTTTGGTAGGATCCGGAGCACCAGAGAAAGTGGTGGGAGAGAAGACTGCACGGAGAAGCAGAGATGCGTGTCTGAGCGCCTGAAACGTAAAGCCAAGCAAACTGCTGGACGTGGGAGCTGGAGCAAACTGCAGCCTCCACACCGCCCTGAGTTGCCACATCTCTGCCAGTATTTGTCTAAAACAGTGCATCTGCTATAGGCGCTCTATCGGTATTTGCTAAGGGAAGTAACGGATCCGAAGGAGACGGCAACTTTCCAGAAGGCCGGGGACTCTGCCTACCCAGCTTGGTACCTACCGCGGCCGGGCTCACAGCAGACGCGGAAAGAATGAATGGGCAGGTGCGGGGCGGACCCCCCGCCTCCCCCAACCCGGTGACACACGGGTTGCCACCTGGGGAAGGGCTGCCAAGGACTCTGGCGGCTACAAAGGCAGAAGGCGAATTCCGATCGCCAGTCGGACGCCCGGGCGGTGACCCATGGGTATCCGGATCCCCCCACCCATCTTCCGTTTAGACAGCCCTGGCCCCTTCTACCCAAGCCCGGCTCCTGCCTCTAATCGCGGCTGGCGGCGGGCGAGGAAGGCTCTTTTCTCTCAGGAGAGCGAGAAAGGCCTGAGGCGGCCGGACCTCCTCTCCCGGGTGCAGACTCCCGGCCCCAAAGCCCGACTCCTCCTACCTCTGGCGCGGCCGCAGCACCTTCTCAACGGCGACCCAAACGCCTGCGCATGCGCGGCGGAGAATTGCGGCTGCGCGGGCGCAGAGGGATCCTTGAGGCTCGCGTCCCATCCTCCTTTGCGGCCGGGGCGCGCGACTGAGAGCGTTTGTCTAGCGCGCGGGGCAGGGCCTGGCGGAGCGCGGTGCTCGAGGACCGTGTGGCTGAGGTTGTAGGCGGCTCCCGGCGAAGTATACTAAGTGTTGAGGAAGAGTCGAGGTGAGATTCGGGCTCCGCCGCAGTTTGAAGTTGGTTTGGGTGCACCACGGTTCACATAGGAAATGTATGCGGGTTCACTGGCGGCCCCTCAGAGCGCATCTGAGTCTGGAGCCGACAGGTAAACGGGGGCGCCAGACCGGGGGCGGGAGCCGAGGGACCGAGCGCGGGCTTCCTCCCGGAGACGCTTGGAAGCAGGTTGACGCCTGAGCGGCAGGTTTCCCCGTGCGGGCCGGGGCCGAGGTGAGGCGATGCCCACCCTCTCCAGGCTTCCAGGTGCACGTTGTTAGTATTTGAGGGGCTCGTGAAGCCGGAGAGGTTCGCCGCGGACTGAAGTCTGAGAGACCTTATAAGTCGTATTAAGGATTCGAATTTCCACCTGGGGTCCTTGGGAGCCGACATAGATACTGTTTTTAAAGGAGTTTCTAGTTGCAGTGTGACAGTTGATCTGGAGAGGCAAGCCTGAAGGCTCATTAGGAGGCTGTGGTGATGCAGGCGAGAAATGAGGGCAGCCTGGATTTAGGAGTTGAAGTTGGGGGAAAGGAGAAATAATGAGGCGTTTGAATTGCCGTGACCATATTAGTTGTTAATACTTGTGGGTTTCTGGAAAAGAATTTCTAGGTTTCTGGCCTGAGCATCTGAGTAGAACGTGGTTTCAGTTACTGAAGTAATGAATACAGAAGGAGGAGGAGTTTTGTTGGGAAACTGATACAGTTAGGTTTTTTTTTTTTAAGTTATAATTTACAGATCATAAAATTCACTCTCAGAGTGTTGGTTATTAGTATATTCACAAGGTTGTGGAACCATCAGTTCAGTTTCAGTTGCTCAGTCGTGTCCGACTTTTTGTGACCCCGAGGACTGCAGCCCGCCAGGCTTCCCTGCTTATCACCAACTCTGGGAGCTTACTCAAACTCATGTCCGTCCAGTCGGTGATGCCATCCAACCATCTCATCCTCTGATGTCCCCATCTCCTCCCGCCTTCATTCTTTCCCAGCATCAGGGTCTTTTCCAGTGAGTCAGTCCTTCACATCAGGTGGCCAAAGGATTGGAGTTTCAGCTTCAGCATCAGTCCTTCCAGTGAATGACTGATCTCCTTTAGGATTGACTGGTTGGATATTCTTACACTCCAGAGGACTCTCAAGAGTCTTCTTCAACACCACAGTTTAAATTCTTCGGTGCTCAGCTTTCTTTATAGACCAACTCTCATATCCATGCATGACTACTGGAAAAACCATATTTTTTACTAGACGGACCTTTGTCGGCAAAGTAATGTCTCTGCTTTTTAATATGCTGTCTAGGTTGGTCATAGCTTTTCTTCCAAGGAGTGTCTCTTCATTTCATGGCTGCAGTCACCATCTGCAGTGATTTTGGAGCCCAAGAAAATAAACAGTCTGTCACTGTTTCCATTGTTTCCCCATCTATTTGCCATGAAGTGATGGGACCAGATGCCATGATCTTAGTTTTCTGAATGTTGAGTTTTAAGCCAGCTTTTTCACTCTCTTTCACTTTCATCAGGAGGCTCTTTAGTTAGTTGTTCTTCCCTTTCTGCCATAAGGGTGGCCTCATCTGCATATCTGAGGTTTTTGATGTTTTTCCCAGCAATCTTGATTCCAGCTTGTGCTTCATCCCACCCAATATTTCACATGATGTATTTCTGCATGTAAGTTAAATAAGCAGAGTGACAATATACACCCTTGACATACTCCTTTCCCCATTTGGAACCAGTCTGTTGTTCCGTGTCCAATTCTAACTGTTGCTTCTTGACCTGCATACAAATTTCTCAGGAGGCAGGAACCATCATTACAGTCCAATTCTAGAACATTTTATAACCCCAAATAGAAAGCTGTGTACCCGTGAGCCTCATTCCCCTTTACTCTCTCCCTTGGAAACCACCAATCTATTTTCCTTTTCTGCATTTGCCTGTTGTGTATATGTTATGTAAATTGTATCGTATAAGCCTTCTCTCTGGCTTCTAATGAATGTAGTGTTTTTCAGGGTCATCTATGTAGCATGAATCAATTAATTTCTTTTGAAGGCGGGATAATATTTCCTTGTATGGATATACCTTGTATGGATATACCACATTGTATTTATCCATTTATCAGTTGTTTCCACGTTTAGGCTACTATAACTAATGGCCGTGTGAACATTTCATGTATGTATGTGTGTGTTTTTAGTACTCTTGGGTTTGTACCTAAGAGTGTGATTGCTGGGTCATACTGCATTTAGTTCTGAGTGTTGAGATTCAAATGCGAATAGGGATTTCAAGAACTTCCTCCATATGAAGGAGTTAGGAGGTGGTATTTAATGTCGGCTTTTGGAAACCTAAGTTAGTTTGTAATATAGGTTCCAATTGAATTAGTTAAGTAGACAGCACAAATGTGGTAGTAGTGGAGTGTCTCATTTGTACTAGAGGGATTTTGATTTGTAAGGGGTGACTGGGTGACAAGGAGAAGCCAGGGCCATTGAAAGAAAAATCTATTAATTTCCAGAGACCAGAGGGCATGTCATGCCACACAGGGAAGGTTTTGGTCAGGAATCAGAAGCAGGAATGAGAGGAAAGCCTAGGTCGGAGCCTTATTCCCTGAAAAAGGCAAGGCAAAGCAGGGTAGAGGATTTAGGACTGGCTAGTTTGAATAAACCCCATGGACTTTGGGCTAGGGGCTTTCCTGATAGCTCAGTTGGTAAAGAATTTGCCTGCAATGCAGGAGACCCTGGTTCGATTCCTGGGTCGGGAAGATACGCTGGAGAAGGGATAGGCTACCCACTCCAGTATTCTGGCCTGGAAAATTCCATGGACTGTACTGGTCTATAGAGATGATCTCTAGTTGCCTGGCACTTGGCCTGAGATGATCAGGGCAGGGGCAATATTGACTTCATCTTTGAGAGATAAACGAGTTGATGAATTTGCATATGAGAGACTGCTCCCTAGTAAATTGATTACTATTATTGGGAATTAGCTAGTCCTGGAAAGGATAGTCTCCCCCTCCCCCTAGCAAGATTTTTAAGATGGCGAAACATCATACTATACTGGGGAAAAAATCATAAATGCATGGGAACATGGCTGGGATGATGTGAAGGAAGGACAATTGTGAAGCTGTTGCATATTTTTTTTGTTTAGGATTTAAATCTCTTGGAAGCCTGGGAAAGAACCCCCACCCCCACCCCCACCCCCTGCCTTTCTCTCTTCTGCCGCCTGCTCAAGTCTGGTCATATTATTCTTTAAAGCAAAATGAGTTATCAAAGTGTAGTTTAGAGAAGGGAGTATTCCTTAACCTTAGCTTTTCAACTTATTTACCTGTGGAATATTTTAAACTGGAATGCTTGGACACCACCCTTAGACCTGCTAAATTAGTCTTGGATAGGTTTCCCAACCTGTCATTTGAAAGTTTCACAGATGATTCTTACCATCTCCAAGTTAGAGACTGATGGTAACTACATTTAGCCAATACCTACTGAGCAAATCCTATTGGCTAAACATAAAAGAGATGCCAAAAACTGAGCGAGGAGGTGATTGGAATTTAGGGTTAGACATGATTCCTCCCTTCAAGGAACAAAGTCCTGGGGCAGATTTTCTTTTACCCAAGGTGAACCATGGGAGCCGCCTTGACCTGGACTCGATTGTGACTTAGCTCTAGCAGAAGCTCTGAGGTTCACAGTCTCCCACTGAAATGAGGCAGGAGTCCCCCAGTGTGACTAAGCTGAGGGACAGTGTCCAAAAACAGTGTTACTGGGTCCCTGTTAGTTCAGTGGTAATACTTTGTGTTTGTTCCCTGCCAGCATTTGTGGCAGAACTTTAATGCCAGGGACATGAAAGGACATTTAATATATTAAAAGGTCAGAATTGTTCTTATGTTTGATAAACTTTACAAGGTATATCAGAAAGAGCAAGTGCAGAAGTGTGTGGGGAAATGTAGCACAATGAAAGGAGTGGTATTCCAAGGAGAGGCTGTTTTCCAAGCCCATAGGAGTAGCTAATTTTGGGATCTAGGGGAAACAGGCAAAGGTTGAATATGCTATGATTATCACTTTCTTACCCTCCTGGAATATGTTCCTTTTTGGAAACTGTGACATCCTCCACTGAGTTACTGTTTTAAACAGTTCTGTGGAAGAAGTGAAAGGCTCTTTTCCCGGGTCTGTGGTTTGGTTATAAATCCCCAAACCTACATGGCTCCCTCTCATTTATCTTGTCAGGGGCTGGGGAGAGGGCAGAACAAGGGAAGAGTTGTCTGTATTCTCAATTCTTTGATCATATAAGCTTTTAAAAATTTCATTTATTTAGGGCGCGCTGGGTCTTTGCAGCACACAGGCTCTTCATTGCTGTGTGCAGGCTGTCTCTAGTTGTGGTGAGCAGGGGATACTCATTTCAGTGGCTTCTTTTGGCACATGGGCTCAGTATGTGGCACACTCGCAGCATGTGGGATCCTAGTTTGTGGACCAGGTATTGAACCTGTGTCCCTTGTGTTGGCAGGTGAATTCCCAACCCCTGGACCACCAGGAAGTCCCCATATAAGGTTTTATTTACTGTTGTATAATCCTGTGTGCTGCACTGCCAAAAGTGTTGAAGTCCAGAGGGGAAATGATTGCTTTACATGTCAAAGTATACAAAAGTCATTCTAGGTTATACTGCATTTCTGTCTATCATTGCTATTGCTATCTTTTTGTGTGATACATGTTTCTATTAATTTTGCTCGATGAATTTAAGGGGAGATTCCATGCAGATATACTGGCCTCAATGCAAAACAACATTTTCCTTAATAAAGTTGATAATTTTGATGTTAAAATTAGGCCAGATCATCTTCCACATAATATTGTTAAGATGGCAGTACTCCCCCCAAGTAATGGACAGATCAGTGTAATACTTGACAAAATCCCAATATTCTTTTTTCAGAAATAGAAAAACTGATCTTGAAGCTCATATGAAGTTCATATTAAGAGGTCCTAAATAGCCAAAACAATCTTAAAAAAGAACAAAGTTGGGGGATGATTTTGAAATTTACAGCAGAGCTATGGTTATCAAAACTTTGCTACTGACATAAGAACAGAAATACAGAGCAGTGGAATAGAACTAAATGCCCAGAAATAAACCTATGCATCATGGACATTTGATTTTGACAAGGATTCCAAAACCATTCAGTGGGGAAAGAATAATCTCTTGAATGAATGGTGGTAGGACAACAGAATATACACATGCAAAATATACACAAATTAACTCAAAACAGATCAAAGGCCTAAATCTAAGAGTGAAACCATAAAACTCTTAGAAGAAAACAGATAAATTCTCATGACCTTGGATTTGACAGTTGGTTTTTAGATAGAGCACTAAAAATACAAAAAAGCAACAAAAGAAAAAAATCCATAAATTGGATTTCATCAAAATTTAAAGCTTTTTTGCATCAAAG